AAGAAATCGCTAAGCAAATTCGTAAGTACCAAACATAGGCAAACAAGTCCAAAAAGAAGCTGACTTTTCAAGAAGGGGACCTAGTGTGGTTTCGGTTGAAGTAAGAAAGATTTTTAGTATGAGCATTCGGAAAACTCAAGCCCAGAATAGATGACTCTTTTAGAATATTCTAGAAGCTGAATTCCAATGCTTATAAGATCAACCTATCATGGGACTATAATGTTTCTACCACGTTCAATGTTCAGAGTTGACACCGTACTACAATGTTTTTACTATGTTTAATGTTTCAGACTTGACACAGTATTATGAGGACCCAAAAGCTTTGGCAAATGAAGTCGAAGTTCACCCAATCCCGAGAGACTAATGCAGGGCTTGGATTGAATTAACCAGTTAAACTTGTAAATTTTCCCCCCCCCCCCCCCCCCTTCTTTCCTGTTTAGGGTTTAGCATTGTTATGATTTCTGGTTTTCTGCCTCTATGCTTTTTCCCTTGTCAAGTATGTATTCGATCCAGGTGGTGCCTCGGTTGTTTCCTGCTCTGAGGTAGTGAATATCCCTATAACTCCCTGCATCCCTTCCCTTCTTAGCTCCCAGCCGCCGACCTTCCCCACCTCTTTTCCCTTGTTCCTAGCCGCTGACCACCATATCTCTTCCCAGAATCCAGCTGCCAACCCACAACTCTTTTCCCTGGTTCCTAGCCACCGTCCACCACCCCTCTTCCCTGGTTTTAAGCTGTCGTTCACCACCCCTCTTTCCTGGTTCCTAGCCGCCAGGCACCACCCCTCTTCTCTGTTTCCAACAGCTAGTTACCAACCCTCTTCCCTGCTTCCACCCGCCCGCCACCTAGCCTCTTCCATGTTTTCAACAGCCAACCACCACACTCTCACCGCTATTGTCCACAAATATTCCTACCCAACCCTAGTTGGATATTGATGTTTGTTGTGTTTCCTGTTTCCGTTTGAGTTGATTGTGACCCTATTTATTTTGAGGCTGAGCGATAATATTTGCTTCCACTATTGTGGTTTACGTTAACTATGGTATAACTTACGTATCTTTTTCTTGCTCAATATATGTGTTGTGTGGTGTCTGACACACAACCTCAATTGGAGTGGTTGAACTTGGATGGAATGAGGGTGATGGTGGTGCTATAGTATTTTGGTGCTGTTATGAATGAATGGGGTGGACAAGTCAGGCGATGGAGAGTGGCAAATAGGTGACACCACAATTGGACCAGTGGGCTTCACTGGGGTGAGCGTGGAGGTCACAGTGGTGATCATAGCAGTGGCGCTCGTATGATTGGTGGGTCACGAAACTTTCTTCTTCCTCTTGAAATTGCTTATGATATATCTACGAGAAAGCAGATCGTCACCAGCATCTGAAGTTATCTGTGAGGAGAAGAAATAAATTGACCAGAATAAATTAAATTAAGATTAATAAGAAGTAAGAGTAGGAAGGCAAGAAATAAAAATAAAAAAAATAATAGATAAAAATAGAAAACATAATAAGTAAAAGTAGGGAATACAATGAATAAAATAAAGAAATTGATTGCCGCATACACATTATTTTGATTAATCGGGAGACATAAGAGGTTAAATTAAAATTATTTGTCTAAATCATCACCAGACTCATCCCAAGTATGTGTGATTAATATGTGTCGTTGCACTTCTAAAGTTATCATTTGCTCAATCAAATCATTGGGAATGTTAAAATCTGATTTTTTCTTTTTCTAATGATTAGGCTTAGTAATATTTTGAATCTCAATTATCACTCTAGGTTTAATCTAAAATGACTACCCTCCAATCTATTTTCTGTTTTGCTTTATTGGGTATATAAGATAATATACCTGACTCTTTTGATGTTCTAAAAATGAATGTATCAAATTTATACTTTATCTTCTGTTCATTTTAATTTTTCTGATATTATATGACATGTTTTTGTTTCACGATTAAGAACATGATCAAAATAATTGAAGTTGAACATAAATACACTTCTTCCAATAAAGTCAGCATATTGCAAACATACTATTTCTTACAAAAATCAATGGTAGTCTATATTATCATCCGAGTGAATGTTTATTTTGATACAAACACTAGAGTTATTCTTCATTTTTTTCTTTTGGATCAAGAGTTTGCGTAAAATTTGTAGTTATTCACAAGGAAAATTGGTTACATATTTACAACGTGCATTTCCCCAAGCAAGATCTAGCAAGTTCTAACTTGTGACCCCATTACTTTGATCAATTAACTACATCAATAAGCGCGTGAAATTATTTAATTTAACCCAAAGTTTATGTCCATATTAAGCATAACTTAAGTGCAAGTTAAATCAAGTTGTGAATTCTTCTTAATCTTAATAATATGTTTGCATAATTAAAATTTTTAGAATCAAGTAAATATTATATTTGAGATCCAGAGTTGATCAACTAATATTGAATATTCTTGCTCAAGAAAAAGTTGAATTTTGTTACAATTGAGAAGAATTTGCACAGTCGCTGCTCAAAGTTCTTTGTCAATGTAGAAACATGAAATGCATTATCCTGATACTTCATATAATTGCTGAAAAATAGAAATGGCTGACTGTGAAGGCACCACGGTAATAATTTAATTGATGTTTTTTTGTTGTTTGAAATAAATTATTTATTTTTTGTTAACAAATATGCCTCACATATTGATCCTCTAGATTGTGTTTTATTTTTCATGATTCTTTTAAGTTTATTTAGAAATCTGCATTAACATCAGTAATTTAATACGATATAGTAACGACACTACATAAATTATTAAACATTATTTGTTATTACATCTTAAATGGATACATCTACCAATATTATATTGGATTTTTAAATTTAACCTCGTATGATAGATGTATAGGCGAATATTCTATAGAGTCAAAAAATCAAGAGAAAGTATTCTCTACATTTGCACAATATCAATAGAATGTTAACTTCCAAGTTATTTTACATCAACCTTCAAATAAGTATGAAAATGTTTGCAAATATAAACAAATAAATGCCCCTTCACATATATACCACTTAATTTTTATATACATATTAATACCTAAATTTCCACATACATTAAATACCAATCTTTGACATCACATCAAAAAATTACTATCATTAACTTTTTAGAAGTGAGATACACATTTCCATGCATAGGTATGTATGTAACAGTTGAAGTTTGAGCGAGTCTAAGGCTTGTTCTTGTTGGATTTGTTCGATTTTTTTGTATTCGTATTCAGCTCGTGTTTGAGTAGGCTCGTGAATAGCTTGTTCTTGTTTCTCGATTTAAGCTTTCGGTCAAATCGTTTAAATCACTTGAAATATTAATATTTACAAATTAATCACTATTGAGAACTTGATAAAAATGAAAAATATGGGTGAAAGTTTTATCATGAATTTAGATATTTGAGTGAGAATTTGAAAAACGAATGGAAGAGAGTTGTTGATTTATAAATATCAAAATTTGGGCGGTTTGCATGTAATTGCTCCAAAATTTTTTATCAAGTTATGCGTAGTATACGCCATCACGTCAAAAATTACCTTTGCCCTCCCGATGTGATGTAAAAATTATTCCATACGGACATGTAGAGATGCATGCGGTGTCCGATCTCCATCGTTGATTACCGCAAAGATGTATTTCAGTGGGCCCCACTTTCATTTTTTTTTAATTTTGATTGCAGTGATCGACGGTGGAGATAATTTTTCTGATGTGATGTGAGGACAGTGGGGCGTGATATTTGAAGGGCGGGACTTTATTTCAGTTATTTACATGCATGCCACCCATGTTTACGACATTTCTTATATGTTTACCGCAAGAGTGAGGCCTATGGGCCGTGGCTGGCAACAGATTCTTTAGGAGAATTTACATTTATACCGCACAAATTCTATGTATTTAAATACCAAAACCTAAAATTAGTGGGTGGGGCAAGATTTTAGGAGCACTTACATACATACAAGCAAAATTTTATGTATTTACATATTTAACATCTGAAGTTATACTTTTTAAAGTTATATCACAAATATTTTTTTTAAAAATATAAAAAATTAGCAATTTTTAATTATAGTATAAAAATAAATATTATTATTTAATTTTTTTCATGTCAAAATGAACCGGACACGAACAAATAATTTTTTTTTCATATTTGGCTAGTTTATAAATCAAGCTCAAATAATTTGTTTGTGTACAACTAGCTTGCTTAAAGAATGAATCGAACACGAGCTATTTAAAGAATCAAGTACTAGCTATCTGCTGACAACAAACTTTTTGACAATCACATATATGTGAAAATTGCACTTAAATATATCTTAATTGAGTGGTAAGTATGTATATCTTCCTTGAACTAATTCTATGTGGAACGACTACGTATAATTTTGTGAGCCTATTTAACCTACATCGAATGAATCCTAGGTTAAACATACAAATAAAAAAATACAGAAACTTTAAACTCTAAGTGTAAAGTCAACGCAACACAAACACATTTTTATGAAATTTTACAATGATTTTGATATTATCTAAAAAAAAATTAAAATCCATAAATGTGGAGACTTAACACATGAAATCTCAAATAAATATTTGTACAGGATGGAGAATGTGTTTTATCTCAAATAAATATTCCTAGGTGCACGAAACATGTGGGCTAGAGCGGCGAGAGTTGTCGGCCAAGAGAGAGAGAGAGAGACAGACGAGCTCGTATTTGGTTAGGAGTCCTAACGTAAAGAGTCATGCGGAGGCCAATGACACGGCGACACGTGGCACGCGGGTCCTACAGTTAATTTTCGGCTGAAAAAACGAAATTGCGGAGGTGGCCCGGTCCGACCCAAACCCAAAAAGCTTTACGAAATGGCGCAAAGTCGTAACGCAGTACTTCGAGGCGAGCTCTCCCGTTTCAGATTCCCCCGCCTCGACGTTTCGTCTTTCACAGTTCGGTGCTAGGGTTCCAGCGAGCGCGTATCTACATTGTACGAAGCAAGAGGGAAAGCATTTCGTCATTGGACGTTCGAAGTTCAGAAGTTGAATTTTTTTGAAAATGAAGGGTCGCAAGCAAACAAAAGAAAAGATGAGTGCTCCAAATTCGTCGAGGTAATGATCAGAAGTTTGATTTTTTGGAAATAGACTTCTTATTAGAACTTAGTGATTTTATTGCTGTATTATTATCATGTTATTACAGTGTTTCTCTTGTGTTATTACTTTGTTATGACCTTCCGTTTGTACTAGGTTGAATGGTGTGTTATTGAAGTAGTGTTCTCATTGAGTGATTCATGTGTTCTTTGGGTTTTAGTGATGACATTGAATGTTCCCATATGTGTTTAAAGTCATAAATTATTGAATAACACAGATGAATCAAAGTGGTGTTATGCTGATGTTATTATGATGTTATTTAGTGTTTTGAAGTTGCATAGGTGTTGGATGGCTTTAATTTTGTATGTCACTGATGTAATTTATGTTGTCATATGTGTTTAAACTGCTTAATAATTCAATAACACAATTGAGTGTCAGTGGTATTATTACTGTGTTATTGTGTGTTATTAATTCAACAATACATTTTTTGCTTTATTATTGTGTTGTAAAGTTGTGTGTGTGCTGTATAGCGATGTTGTAGGTGTGTTATTAATGTCATTTGTTGTAGTGAATGACAAAGTGGTTTTTTTGTGGAAGTGTTATGCTTGTGTGATTGGATGTTATCGAGCGGATAACACCTATCTCTCAATAACAAAGTGTTATGCCACACATATAACACCATGAATGTCCTTGCATAGCACTATTGTTATTGGGTGTTATTACACATAAGCAAAACACATATAACACCCTGAATGTCCTTGCATAACATTTTGTGATTATGTGTTATTATGTTGTTATTCTAGTGTTATTGTGTGTTATTGAGTTACAAATGTCTGTATTTCCTTCATACGTAATATACTGATTTCATGTCATTCCTTTGTAGGTTTATGAATGCAAGGACATTCAATTGCAGGTGTCGTCCATCTGCAGTAAGAGGTGCTTTGGATAGTGTCCGACATCTACTATCGGAGGAGACGATGAATTCTTTAAAAGAAATGAATGTCTTCCACTTCTTTGATATGTCTTCATATCCACAGGACAATGTTTTGACATTGCACATTTTGAGATGTGGGATAACGAGAAGAGGGTGTTCAGAATGGGTGGGAAAGAAGTAAAATTGCACCATGACCACTTGACGCTTATATTAGGTATGCCTAATAGAGGGGAGACAATTACGTGGAAGAAAACCCTCTCGTCTGGTGTGGATGCCCGAGAAATAAAGGAGCAATTGACGAAGTTTTCTGAAGGAGGTTCTTCCATTCCCTTTGAGCAGTTATACTTGAAGTTTTACTAACGAATTTATTTTTCCTCTCAAGCAATTTTAGTGTGCCCGCGGGACTTCTTGTCTTTGTTGAAAATGTACAGAGGTTTTCTTCTTTTAATTGGCCCGCTGCCAGCTGTGAATTTATCGTCGATCAAGTGAGCATCGTTGCCAATAAATTAAGAAGAAATCAGTCACTTGAATATATCTAGGGCTTTGTTTTTATTTTAACTGTAAGTATATGTTTTATCCAAAAAATTAATATACATCTGATGTTATTTGGAGTTTTATTGTTTTTGACATTTCCTCTTTCTGATATGACACATAATCAGCTATGGTTTTATGAGCACACCTCTATGTTTGCTCCACATGTTCCAAAGGCTAGGCCTCAAATGTTAAGATGACCAACAAATCATGGTAGAAGAGCAGCTGAGATTCACGAGGCCTTAAAAAAACTTGGCAATGCAAAGGTTAAACATTTAGTTTATTGCATAATTTAATGCTTTATTTTATCATTCATTTCATCGATAGTAAGCGCATTTTTAATGGTTTTGTAGGTTAATGATTTCTTCATTGATTTAAAAGAGGATGAGCAGCACTTACTCTCCAACCCGGAAGAAGGACAACCAATTCCTGCCAGAGTTGTCACACATCGAGAAACAGTTGTCGGGCTATCTTCACCATTATCTCACAGCGTCGGACCACTTGTTTCCAGCGAGATCACCTCGCAAGTGACATATCCAAAAAGCAATAAATAATTTGGAATAATAATCGACATATTAAAAGGTCAGGAAAGGTCTAATATTGCAATACATGAAAGTATGAGAAAAATGACTCAACAGATGGCGTGCGTGGATGAGTCATTACAGTACTTAATTGCTATTTTCGAAATTTTGCAGAGAACCAAAGCAGAACCAAAGCAGATAAAGAAGTTGAACCAAAGCAGATAAAGAAGTTGATGTACATACAACCGGAACTCACAGATCCTCTGCTCGAAGTATTAAGTTTACCCTGAAAAAGAGGAGGGCAATGGGTTCATTTGATTTCAAATACGAACTAAAAAGAAGGAAGAAAAGACTTGATGTTGTTCAGGAACATCATTTGGGAGCTCTCCCACACATTGACCTAGACAGTAGAATAAATGAGTTTGCTCCACCAACAGATGCAGTTGTACAGAGAGTCACCTGAAAGAATAATGGATGACAGAGACAATGTATTGACAGGTGATGCGACGCTTCAGGAAGATCCTGAAGAGGTGGAACGATCATTTAAGGGTGTTTTGAAGTCGCTAGCCCATATAGTAAACAACTATTTCTTCTCACATCAGTATATTCTATTATGTCATGAGTTCTTATTTCATCAAAAAATATGATGTTTTGCGGGCTCTTCGTGTGTCAGTTGCACATAGTTCTACTGCGGAGCATTCATTAGTTGAAGCTGTACATAGTCCTGGCGGAGAACCAACAACAGATATAGCTGAACACAGTCCGAATGGAGAGCCACTAGCAGATGCAACTATACAATCACCAATGGGAGAGCCAGCAGTCGCAGAAGCAGTTATAATTATTGATGATAAAGAGAATCCTAATGAAGAGGAGACGGATGTGGAGAGCCAGAGCTCCCACCCATACGCCTACGCTATTGTGGTACGCCATAGTTTTAATAATAATTATGTAAATCAACACTTAATTATTCCAAACAGCGCTAACAACGGTCATCAATTATGTTATAGCCTCATGTTGCGGGCCCAGTACTTCCACTTGATTATCCCGCTAGATCAATACTTCCAATCGAAATGCAGTGTGTGATAGATAGCTGTATTTCCGACTACCCCGGGGTGTAAGTAAATGTTATGTTTACCTTTTCAAATTCGTGTGATGGTAGACTGCAACACACATTCTTTGTTCACGATGCAGACATGATGTCATCATAAGTCGGGGGAAGTCTGTACTGGAGCGTGGTGCACTTGAGGACATACTAATGAACCGATGATTTGGTAATGAACATATTGATATTTTTTCCATTATGCTCGCTGAAAGAAGGAAATGGTCACCTGCAATGTACATACCATACATATACGTGTCCCGACTCTATTGGGTAATGACAAATGTTTAATTTATTTGACAATTGTAAAATCTTAGCTACCATTGTGGACTAAATAGATAATTCTCGTTTTTTTTTGCAGATCCATAAGTTGTTTAAATGGGACACTAGAGAAATTCTTAAGGACATTACAAAGGAAGCAATAAAAGATAATCAAATCATTTTATTTCCTATCGTTAATGGCCATCATTGGATTTTGTTAGTTGGAGAGTTGAAAGTAAAAACATGGAAATTATATGATTCACTGCACAACCCAATGCATAAAGGAGTTGCCACAGAAATTGTGAGTGACACAATCGACATATTACATTCATAAAGGAGTTATAACACCATAGCAACACATCTTATACACTGTAGTAACACAAGAATAACACATCATATACACTGTAGTAACACAATAATAACACATCATATACACTGCATCAACACAAAAATAACATATCATATACACTGCAGCAACACAAGAATAACACTTCATATACACTGTAGTAACACAAGAATAACTCATCATATATACAACAATAACACAAAAAAAAACACATCATATAAATTGCTAACTCTTGTTCGAATTTATCAAGTTCGACATTTCTCGAAAGATGCTGGACATGCTTTTAGTTCTGACATAAATAAGTGGAAACTGACTTGTCCTCGTAATGTTCCTACGCAAAGTAACAGCCTCGACTGTGGAATGTTTGTCTGCAAGTATATGGAAACCATAATACAGTCTCAGAAATTCGAATGGAAAGCTCACTCGAACTGACAAGATCAAATGATAGAATTTAGGGCACATTTTGCCTATGCCATTTGCATGTGGGCTCGCCAAAAATCATTCAGTACACATTTTGCCTATGCCAGTAGCAGCCGAACCTATATTTGACTTTTGTACATATGAATCATTTATATTTGACTTTTGTACATATCAATCAGTTCTATTTTACTTTTGTACATATCAATCATTTATACTTTTAAACTTATGTCTATTTTCAGTAGTTATTGGAATATTTTATAATTATTATTTACATATCAGGTTGATATCCCCCGTATTAGATAATAATGCCTTTAAATTGCAGTTATTAACAACTAAAACTTGTACTTGTAGCTTTAAAATTTAATAACGCAGCGTAAATAAGATACACCGCAGTTATACGATAGAATAACACAATGGAAAAAAAAAACACATCGGGTGGTGATAATAACGCGAAGGGGATATTCTCCCTACGTTACGCGCATCTGATAACATAAATAACACGCTGATTAGAAGAAATAACGCATCAGCTTGGCGGAATAACGCAGCTGCAATGTAAAGTAACACGGGGGAATATTCCCTCCGAGTTACGCGCGTTTAAATCGACAGCGGATGACATTAATAACACTCTCCAAGATGGAATAACACAGAGCGGAGGGAAAGTAATGCAGCGCGGAGAAAAGTAACACGAAGAGAATATTTCTGCCACGTTACCGCAGTTTTAATTGTCCGCGTAACACAGGAGGAACTGAAATAATGTGTTAGGAATATTCCCACTGCGTTATGGTCGGGTTAGTCGGGGCGATGAATTTTGGGTTTTCATGTTATTTTTTAATATTTCTCGTGTTACAAAGGTGTTATGTTTGTGTTATTTTATTGTTCTTCATGTGTATTTGGCAAATGAATGTGTTATTAGACTGTTGTATACATGTATTGATGTTATTAATGCGTTATTGGGTAGCTCTTCGGATATATTTGCAAGAATATTGTTATTGTAGCATGAACAACACAAAAACCAAATAGTTACATGAATTTAACGCTAAATTGCTTTTCCTAAATGGAAATTTTCTTTTCCTAAATGGAAATTATCATAAAATTGTACACATGTCAACAAACACAAACAAAATAAATAATAACAATGATTTATAATACATTAAAGGTCAGTTATCGAATCCATCAAGAACCCAATGTAGGTTTGAGTTGATAATTGCAATGGATAATAATCCTGTCATGTTGTAAAGAGAACAAAGTATTAGAATAACCGATGGCAGAAACGCCTGAAATAGAAGATATGTCGGATTTTCAATGATTTACCTGGCTGAGACAGTCGGGCAAAATTGGATCTGATGGAATAACAGGCTCTCGGGTTGTAGTTTGTTCTGGATCTTTTCCTGTACACAGAACTTATGGTTATAGTAAACAAATAAAAAAATATAAAGTTGGAGCAGTCTTAATAATGTTCAGATATATACTTTTGGATCTCTGATTCTTCTCCCAATAACCTTTTGGCCTAGAATTTAAAACTTTTTTTCGCCTCATCTTTGCTGGGTCAGCCACAGTGCGATCAATTTTTGATGGTTTTTTCTTTGTTTTTCTATGAACGTTAGGCGTTTCCCCAGCTTTTGATTCAACAAGATCAACTGATAACTTTTTAATTGTTTTCCAAAGCAGTTGTTCGTTAAGTTCGTCACCTTCTGCTTTATTTATTAGTTGATATGCAAACTTCTGAGATTGACAACGAAATATGAGGCCACTAGAGGAAGCAGGCGTCATTTGAGACTCCCTGAGATGTTTGTATTCAAACCCATTATAGATGTCCCTTTTAGCATGGACTGACCATCGCATCAATAAATACTTCTCAGGAATAATATTTATTTTAAGCACATTAAGAAGATGCAGTGCGTGCGAACACAACATCCCCTTCATTTCAAACATTCTGCAATTGCAGGTTACATCGGAATTAACACTGTCAAAATTCACTATCCATGTCTTAGATGTCCCATCATTATCCAAATTACGTATGTAATACTTTGATCCACTTTCTGCGGCGAATTCAAGCTCAAGTCCATACAACCTATTGAGTAGCTCTTGCTCGAACTTTGAGTTAATCTTTCTCGTATAAAATGAGGAAGCTTGCCTCAAAATAGGGTTGACTTTAACAATCGGCGTAGTGACAGATTGACCACATTTGAAATCTTCATCATTTTTATTTCTGCGTCATGATTTCATTATATTTTCAAGGCCGATAAAATAATCTGTCAAAGAGCTCGTAGGCTTCGAAATATTATGACATACACTATTGGTGGACTCACTTCTTTGAGTTGATAGGATTCTCATTCCAAATATTTCTTTTTTGAAGGCAGTTGACCATTTGTGTCTGATTTTGTACATGTCATGTAACCACACATTACTATGTAAGTCACCAACTTCAATCATTAATGACCAGGTATCTTCAAACTCTTCCTCCAAATCGCATTTACTCAAGCACTTATAAATAGTCCGGTGACGCTCTTGATTGCAACTCTACAATGCACTTTTGAAGTAATTTTTTGTATATATGTCATTGGCATAATCTGTGTCGTGTTTGTGGGAGACACTCTTCAATGACCCTTGTCATAGCTTGGTCCTGATCGGTGAAAATACTTACTGGATGCTTTTCATTCATTACTCTTATAAAAGCTTTGAATAACCATTTAAATGAATCAATAGTTTCCTCTGACAAGAAGCCAACACCAAACATGACGTTTTGCAAGTGGTGGTTAACTCCCACGAAAGGAGCGCAACATAAGTTATACTTATTTAATTTATAGCTTGTATTAAAAATTATAACATCACCAAAATAGTCGTAATCTAGCCTGGATAGACCATCACTCAAAAAAAAAAACTTGTTAATCTACCATACTCATCTGTTTGAAAATCCCATGCAAACATGTTATCGTTGCCTTGCCTCTCCATGAACAATTGTATTAGAGAGTTGATATCTCCTTGTTCAATTTTTTCTCTTCTTTCTCTTTGAATGAAATTGAATGCATCCCTCTTCGTGCATTCTAAATTCTCTGCTCCCCAACCTCAAGAGTAATGAAGTTATATGCATCCGTTGCTCTAATCTCTGCTCCTGTCATCGATCTTAGCATATCTGCATTTAAGTCACTTATCCTTTTACGGGAACGAAGAAGATGCTTATCACCAGATTCAATTCAACCAAAGGATGGTTGTGACTTTCAATGAATTTCTGTACTGTCCAGTTGTCTTCTAGATCAACTGCATAGCGAACCATGGCTTGATAGCCAGTCATTGGCCAGTCATTGTGTCTGTCTTTTTGTATTTTTCTGTATTCATAAGGTTAGACTTCTTTTTGTGTTCAGGTTTTGCACAAAGCAAATTTTTGGACTTCCTTTTCTTAGAATTCGGCCAATAACTGTTGTGGTCCTTGCGAACACTAAATCTTACATGATGTGCATAGGCACAATAGGCTTCATAAGCTTCTTGCTCATTGTGGACGATGATGCTAAGAAACTTCTCAGCAGTTTGATCACTGCAAACAGTTCTTTGCTCACATGACTGCACGTTTATAAAGACCTCATTAAGACCTTTATCAAAATCTGAATAACAACACATTTATAGAACATGAATGACACAATATCACTACAACAAACGTTCATAACACCAGTGGAATATCATAAAAATAGCAACATAACACCACAAATAGCAACCATATTAACAATACCATCTGTTGTGCTGTAACAAAACCATCAAAAAACACCTAGAATGATACAGTAAAACCTACCATAATGAACAAATCTAAAACCTAATATCAAAAAACAGAGTAACCCAAACATAACACCAGAATAATACAGTAAAACCTACCATAATGCACAAGAATAACACTAGCTTGATGCCATTCTACAACACCACAAGCAAACTGGAAAATAACATCACAATAACAATCAATATAATACACAAGATAACCCTACCAGTAACACTACTAAAACCAACCATAACACTACAATAATGAAAGAATAACACAATAAAATATTTAAATAATACAACAACAAAACTACCGAAATACACCATATTACCATTACCATCTACAGCTAAATAAAACCACTATTAGATCACATTGAAAACCCTAAACCATGAACTGAACAAAAACAAAGTAACTCGACGTAACACCATTATAACACCATAAAAGCTAGCAAGCTTGAATAAGAGTAACACTAAACTAAAACCCCTAAACAGTAGCAGAACGAAAGTAAAACCCCTAAACAACAAGCTTGCATAAGAGTAAACTCACTTCCTCTTTGAAGTTCAGAGAAAATGTTGGCTGCATTGTATCCATCATCTCGTCGTTTGCCAAGGACTCAATGGAAGACATAAACCCTAAACCAATGGAACAGTAGGTGCTCAGCTGCGCGCGGGAAAGAAAAATAGCTAGACAATACGCGAAAAAGCTTTTTGCGAGTTGGGTTTGGGTCGGGCCGGCCAGCTGAGTGCACATTTTTTTTAAAGGTGGGTCCAGTGTTGTCACGTGTGCCCATCGCATTGGTCTTCGAATGTAAAGAGTCATTCGAAGTCCTGATAGAATAATTCGCCGAGAAAGACAGAGAGAGTGCAGGCAAATGCTAAAGAAATGAGGGTTTTTGGCAGCAGTTCT